AAAATGTCCCTCTATATCAGAAACTCATTATTTTGTAAGCAACTCTACGAATAAAAGGTACCCGATCCAGGAACATCTAACATGTGAACATTCGAATGTAATATATTTAATTTCATGCAAGAAATGTCCCAAACAATATGTAGGAGAAACTAAGAATAATTTACGAACTCGCTTTAATGCTCATAGGTCAGACATCAAATTAAAGAAAGACAAGCCTGTTTCTAATCATTTCAACCTCGACGACCATTCAATAGACGATCTCACCCTAATCCCAATTGAGCGTATAGAAATTGACTTGCCCGAAGATGAAACTACCAAATTCCGTCAATCTAGGGAGGCCCATTGGATTGAGACATTGGATACAGCAAGACCTATAGGACTAAATATTCATCATAATGTAGGCATAGCACCCTTTGTTGTCCCGTTTAATACAACCAGCAATCGAGCAAGCAAGATAGTTCATGCCCACTATAAGAGCCTTCAAGAGAAATTCCCCCATGTCTATAAGCAGAAAATGATAGTTGCATATTCAAAAAATAAGAACTTAAATGATAATATTGTTCATAGTAAACTAAAAACAATCAGTACATAACAGATACTATACTTCTCGCCCATCGGGCGAGTTATTTTTTCTAATTTCAGATCAGAATAAGAACAGAAGAAAACCCAATATCAAGACCCTCAATCCTAATTTCTAAATAAAGTGTCTGCTCCACCCTAGGCCTGTACATTTGGGAGAATGAAACCATCCCTTCCCCGAAACCTAATTTCTAAATAAAGTGTCTGCTCCACCCTAGGCCTGTACATTTGGGAGAATCAAACCCTTCCTTCCCCGAAATCCAACCTTGGGCATCGAAAAAATCATCAGATTCGAACTCGTATAAGATCTTATCAACTTCAATGATCACGACAAGTTTAATCAAAATTGATCTGAAATTATTGCATTTATTGCGTTCACAAAGGCCAGATTTTGAAGGGTTTTAACTATGGAGAGGGTCATGACACCTCAAATTAACGATCAATGAAAAATTGTTCAAAAACTTAGCCAAGACTCCATCAATGTAAATGATCACACCAAATTTTCATTTAAATCAAATATAAAACCTCTTGTCATGGGGGTCTATAAAATTTGATAAAATTAACGTTGTTACATGACAGATAGTAGAAATACTTGTAGTAAAGTAATGCCTGAAACACATATTTTAATCTTAAGTATTCGTAATTAAAGTATATAGGACTCAGACCACTAAAATTATTTATGTAAATGATTGTACGAATGTAGTCCAGGCTATTTTTAGAAATCCTTTTTCTCTCTGCCTTTTGGGTTTCTGCATTCCTATTTTTGACTGATTTTTGGTCTAGACTTGGAATTTGATGTCTGAAATTGCATTTTATTTCAGAGAGATTTTCATGTGGAAGGATAATTCTAAAAATAGTCGTTTTTTCGTCGGTGACAGTCAAGCGGATGTTGATAAAATGTAAAGGTCTACTATCAGTTTGGCTAGCTCAAGATTTTCATGGTCATGATATATTGAATTTTTGTCCAGAAACTAAGTATTGGCCTGGCTTTCATGTGACATATTGGAAAGTTTTCAACGAGATTTCTGGAAAAGTTATTGAAGGTTGAATTTCGTGATTTAACATGGAAACAGGTGGCAAATGAATTAACGGTTTGAGTCCATATAGGCCAGGCGTCG